AAATAAATAATTATTTATGTATTTATTTTATAATTTACAAGCGCAGTTGTGTCCTCTGTTAATAAAAAATCATAGACATTATTAGACATAAACCTATCCTATACATCCTGATTAGTTTTGATGAAACCCGGGGCGGCGCTACAAACCGCGGGACTTTCCAGCAAGGAAAACAAGCCGAGATGCGGAAGAACTCTAAAAACACACAGAACTTTGACTCCGCAGGATCCGACAAGGAAAGACTAGATACTTTCTCTTTCTGTCATGCCAATACTCTGCAAAACTCTGTCGCAATATGACATCCAACCTTCCTATCGGTCCCAATTATAGCCAGCTGGACGAAAACGCATCTGAAAACAGCCATGCAAAAGAGCAGTACATCTTCTACTTGATTCTGACTTTTATTTTAAGCACTGAGACGTTTATCACAGCTTTTTTTCTTTATGACTACTCCAGAGATATTCACAGAGTAAGTCAAATCTTTCAATCTTATCGCATATCAATAATCATATATTTTAATATAAACAAGAAGTAGTCTATCGATATAGCTATATGACATGTGTTCATTTATATTTTTCCACCTTAAAAGACTAGTGAAATGGTTGTAGATGAAGGGTTTCCAATACACTGTCTCTCCACAAATCTCAGCCAACCGGCAGATCAAGCAGGAATCACAAGTTGTGACTTGTTCAATCAAGAACTGAAGCAAACTGCACATCAGGTATTTACTTCTCCACAAAGGAGCATTTCATATTGCGAAACATATTCTATAACTCTATTATATTATGATCATTAATAATAGTTTTTTTTTTGTTTTTTTTATCAGAGGTTGCTGTTAGACATACAGAATTACCTGCTGGAAACATTTGGAGGTACTGGAAAAATATTTACATATTTACTTGTCTAATGTAAAACACATACACTGTAAAACCAAACAGTCAACTTTATCAAATGAAATGAGTGTAGTTAACTCAAAATTGACTGAAAGTTAATTCTATTCATTTGAATATAGTTTTGAAGTCAGTCTCGAAGGTAATGAGTTCATTAAATACCTCATTTCTTCAACTTAAATTGAGTAAGTTCACAGTACTCATATAGATTAGTTTTTTTACTTAAATAGTTTGTAGCAATCGGTTTCCTCAAACAGTTTGAGTTGTCTTAACTTATTGGGTTTTACAGTCTTCAGTTGGTTTGAGTTCTCTTCATTTATTGTGTTTTACTGTGCTCAAATTGCTTTATTTACTTAAATGGATTAAGTTCACAGTACTCATTAGGATTAGTATTTAAACTTAAAAGGTTAGTTGCAATCGGTTTCCTTAAATGGTTTGAGTTACCTTAACTTTTTGGTTTTCATGGTGTATGATTATCTCAGCACTTTAAAAAATAGAAGTTTCTTATTGGTTCCTTGAAAAAAAATAACAGATCCTTTATTATGGAATAAGTGGAAGCCCAGCAAGCATTTTTTTGTTTTTAAAAGATGTCTAATAGACGTCTAAAAATAGTCGTCTTGGCTAAAACAAGGCTAAGTTTGGACTGTCAGTGAAAACCTAATTGACGTCTAAGAATAGGCCTGAAATAGACTAGTCATCAAATAAACAGCAATGAATGACTACACATATACACTCTGTCTAATCTATTTTACGACTAGTCAAGTTTTGGGCTATTCTAAGATGTATATTAGATTTTCACTGACAGCCCAACCTTGTTTTAGGCAAGCTCTCTACATTTAGATGTCTATTAAACAAAATTGTGTGCTGGGAGAATGTTCTTTGCATTCGTTAGATATTCTTCTCACGTAAAATACATTCAAGTCTTTTAAATACAAGGTTATAAACGGTCCTACATTGAAAACCTCATTTGATCATCCTCATGTCATAACAAATCCATAAGAGTTTATCCTAATCTTAAGAGGACAACTGAATAATCTTTGATAATTATGGTTAAAAATGTATAATATATATTTTGTTTGTAAAAAAATTTCTATATAAACTTCTGCCCCTCCATTGAAATTCTATGCAAGCTAAACTCTGACACTTCCAAATGTTCATAAAGTAATCACAAAGATAAATCAGAAATGAGCTGTTTAATCCCAGTATTTTAAAGAGTCATGATCAGTTTTTGTGTGATTCAGAGTGATTAAAACCTATTCACACACACACACACACACACACACACACACACACACACACACAAAACAGTATTAAAATTGGGTTATGGAAGCTTAAGTATTCTTGCATGACACAGTCATCAGGTTGATTATTGTCTGCCACATCAGCAGTTTGAGCTTCTATGAAAAATCACTGAGGATTGTATGTAGAAGGAATGAATGTCAATTCAGTTCAATTCGGCTTTATTTGTATAGCGCTTTTACAATGTAGATTGTGTCAAAGCAGCTTCACATAAATGGTCAACTGTATCAGGGTAGTTCAGTTTTTAGTGTTTAAGTTCAGTTCAGTTTAGCTCAGTTCAGTGTGGTTTAAAGTCATTAATGTCAAGGAGGAATAAAGCAGGTTCTGTTGATGTGCATGTTAGTTTATGTGAATCCCAGCTAAAACTGTATCAGTTCAAGCAACTGTGTATTTGAAGAAAATTCTCATGGATTTGGAATAGCAGTGAGGATGACTTGGCTATTTTCCAATAAAAGTTTCCCCAAAAAACGAAAGTTTTCTCACCCTCAAGTGTTTCCATGAATTTCTAATTTTTTAATAATTTTTTAAACACAAAAACATATATGTCCAAAAATGTTAACCTGTAACTAATGACTTCCATAGTAGGCCTAGGAAAAACAAATATTATGGAATTCTATGGTTTGGCCACAGGTTTCCCCAAAAATTCTAAATAACTAAATAAAAAAAGAAAACAAACTCAGACAGGTTTGTGCATGGTAAGTGAAAATTGAGTAAATGACATGTCAGAATTTTCATTTTGGGGTTTACCTTTAGTCAGATCCACACTTAACCTGATTCATTGATTAAATTTAAAAATATGTTGTTGAATCTGACAGATCACAACATCACTGAGATTTTCAAACCTGCTGTACACGTCGGGGCAAAACAAGAGCTTAAACAATATCAAAGTCTGCAGATAAATGGTAAGATAACCACGGTTTACACTTGTTTAGGAAAACGTGATTACGTTCAACAGGTTAATAATCACAACATTCTTTTTGTAGATGAAGTTCCTGCACTGGACCGCATTCATTGGGACAACATGAATGGCCAGTTCATTCAGGAGGGGTTAATGCGCCTGAGCCCTGACGGTGAAATAGTGGTGCCGCTCAACGGAATTTACTTCGTTTTCTCTCAGGTTAATTTCGAAACACAGTTAGGGCAGAATGTGCATTTCACGCAGTATTTATACAAGAGGACAGCGTCCTATCCTCGACCTGTGATGCTTTCCAAAGCCGCAGTGACTCCCTGCTCGAGCGTCAGATCTGGTGTACAGCTTTATACTAACCACCAAGGGGCGCTGTTCCGCTTACAAAAGGGCGACAGGCTCTCACTGTACGTGCTGGACACACGCGCAGTACGTTTCCCTCAGGAAGCCACGTACTTTGGGGCATTCATGATTAAATAAGCTATATACGGCAGTGTTTTGGTTAAATTTACAGAGATGATATATTTTTGTGTTTTATAAATAATATAATACAATGTTTGTTGTGATATACAACAGGATATTTTTACACATAAAGATTAAATAAAAGTATTTAAAAGGCTTTTTTCTATTTGCATTTTTATTAGACTGGTTATGCTGTTGATATATATTTGTTACATGTTTTAGACCCTTCGCCAGGAAAATGAAAATAAGACATGAAAATGATTTAATGATTGTCAATTTATATATGCAATATTTATTTTACAATAAATGTTTTAGCTTAAAATTGACAGACAATCCAAGCTCAGGCCCGTAGCCAGGGGGGTGTTCAGGTGGTTCGGAAGGCCCACCCCTCACTGACAAAGGTCCAGAATATGTCCCATACATTAACTCATTTCCTATTTTGACTGCTGTGCCATCATAAATAGTGGAAATAATCCATTGAAAAAGGCTGTAAGACCAAGCGGATTCCTCTGTTGGGTGTTGCTATGGTGTGACTTCAACTAATCAGTTTTGGCCAATGCTAACTAATATTTTTATTGTTGTGAAGCCTCTCCATTGATATTTTGGCAGTGTCCTTTGGGGTCATTTTCCTGCTGCTATTTAAATATTATAATTAAAAAGAAAATTAGGCAAATATCTGCAAAAAGTTTAACTTTTTGAGAAAAAAGAACCACCACTTTCACTAGGCTAGCTACAGGCCTGAAGCTAAATAATTATATTTTAAATTTAAAGCTGAAATCTCAAAATAAGAGCTTCCAGTAAGATTTTGCTTTGACACGACCACCAGATAACCCCTAGTTTCCATTAAAAATACAAGTCTATGTTTAGAGGAGTATGAACTGTATTTTTGACAACACTTGTAAAGTAGACATGAAATTCTAAAGTAGTACAGGCAGTTTTGGTGGTATTTTATTTGAATTTAGCATCTAAAAAACATTTAAACCAAATTTTACATCTAGATTGCTGTAGCAAAGTAATGCTTGTACGACTCTGAAGAATATTTTTGTGACAAATAAATAACTGTTGCTCAGTAAAATTTATCAGAGATGGAAACTAGACATGCCAAGCTTTTAAATTATATATAGTTTGTCATGATTGCATGTGTTTAAACTACAAAAGATGTAGTATGTTTAAATATGTAACTGTAAATAGTCCCAGAGTGATCATGTTTTTGAATCTATTTCTTTTCCTATAAAACTGTGTTAAAATATTAATTCAGAAGTCTTGGATCTTTCGAACAACACATAGTTTTTCATGATTGGATTAGGATTTAACTGCAAAAAAAGTGGAGGAAGGATGTAAATTTAAGTGTCCCGGTGGCAGGACAGTAACAGGTGAAGCGTAAAGCTATTTATGTTAGGTTTAAGCTCATCACAACAGTCTGAGCGAAATAAAGAGCAACGAAAGAGACTTTAAAGTCATTTATTATTAAAGAAAAAAGTCATGTGGGTAAAAAGCAGATACTTACTATTGACATTTAAAAAGCATTCATGTTTATAAATGTATCGACACAATTAAATGTCAGATTATCTAACATCCTTTTTTCTTAAATGGTCCCAATTGTCCTATTAAGCAAAACAATATGATATCAACAGTTTGGTTATATTATTATTTTCCATACTCTTACAACATGCATATATTAGCATTTAGTCAAGTGAGAAAGTTTAAAAATACAAAACGTTAGGTTAGGTTCAAATTACTCTCCATGGTTAAAAGTAAAACACATATTTAAGAAAATAGCAAATATAACAAAAGCAAAGGTGAATGTTGTAGACATTTTGTCTGATTGGGAGACCTTTCTTTCTATTTGTTCTGGGGATGAACATTTAGCCTGTTTTCATCTGTTTAAGAGAACCGGCCTGTTTTCTACAATGGAGAGTGAAGAGAGAGATTATTTTAATAAATAATTAATAATAACATAAATAGGTTGCTTCAACTGATTTAAAAAAATATTTCTCCACAGAATTGAACAGAAACCGCATGGCGGCAGTTTGATTTACAGCATCACAAAGTTCACAGACATAATCCATTTTAGAAGAAGAAGAAACTAAAACAAACAGGACTGAGTTCTTACCTTCAGAGGTCTGAAAATGAGAAGCTTCCTCAAAGTGAAAATAGGCTGAGGGGTCACTTTTGCATCTACTATTTCATTTTTAACTTTTAAAGAGCCTTCTTTACGGCTTACGTCATTATTGACCTTTGTGAGAATCATCAAGATGTCGTGGCCTCTAAAAATGAAGGACAGAACAATTTAACATATAAATCCTGACAAAAGGCTTTCATTTTATTCTGCATGTAAATAAGATCAGTAGAGCTCACCGTTTACTTCCTTCTTTTAAATTCTCACAAAGGGATTGTATAAACCAGGTTCCACTAGTTCTATCACGGATCGACACATACCCCTCTACAGTGGACCTGGCAATCAGAAAATCTGAATCTTTGGGAATGCTGACAGATACTCTGCCAGGTTTTTGCGTACGACTACCACCAGAACCATCTGCAACCATCACTTTGCTCTGAATTTCATGCCCTCTACATGCCTGGATGAAGAACACTTTGGGTTTGCCGGCAAGAGAGGAGCAGTTGGCTCCATTAAATGGGGATGTGATGTCATCCACAGGACATATCTTTTCATCAGATCCGAGAACACCAGACTCATTTCCATGACTCAGAACACAACAGACGAAGCAGTCTCCATGCTTGCGATCCTCACTGTATTCTTTTAAAGTCCTCTTCATGGCAGATACAGTCTGGTCTTGCTTGATTTCAACCGAAAAGCCCAGCCATTCAAACAAGTCCTTCAGAGAAGCTAAGAAAAGCAGAAAAGTGCAATGGTGCATGACCAAAAGCAGGTGAAAGAGAAACAATACCAAAAAACGACAATACAAAACCAGGTAGAAAAGAATTCAGGCCCAGATTTGGCATAAAGCTCGCACAGCAGGAATTTATTCGACCCTGGTATACAGCATGAATATGGCCTGGGTTTGGCAGAGGTGGCACCGTCTTTGTGGCAGCACACAAGACTTGGGCCAGACGTCAAATGTAGTATTTGGCCCAGATGTTAAAAATGTATATGTGGCAACGTATGTTTGGCATGTCTTGACTCACATTTTTATTATTCTTGAGTATAAAGAAAAAGATTCAACCAATCAGATCGCTTTGAGAACAAAAGTGTGCCCACAGCGTACTTAAAGCCTGATGCTTTATGAGTTTATCAATTTAAGTACAGTCGTGACATCAACATTTCTGGCCCAGTTCTAGGCTATTAACTTGGCCCAGATATGATCCATGTTTGGCCCTTGCATGGAAGCCAGACTTGGTCCAGTCATATATCATAATTCACTGCAGCATGTGGGTCTAGCAAAAACTGATTGTGTGGGCCAGATCTGAGCCAGAGAAATTTAGCAATGTGAAAATCCAAGGACAGTTGGATGTCTACAGTATATCTGGATCTCTTTAAAATATAAAGGTGTGGTTTGTTTTTAGTGTTTTGTTTTGAGATTGACATAAACAATTAAAAATAATTTACTGCCTATACTGCCTACCGGTATCCATTTGGGATCCATGTCGTTTCATGTCGGGGTCTTTAAAGTTTTCATTATTAAAAATTAGACAAAGTCCACGTGGATTGCTCTTCATCTCGTACTCATTCTAGAACAAGAGAACAAGCGTCAACAGAGCACAAACAACGTTTAAAAAATGAATTCTCTTTGGAAATGTGTGTGTGAAAATGCTCCAGCTTCATTACCATGGTGTTGGTCTTATCTGTAAAAAAAACAATAAAAAGATAAGCTAGTTAATAAACAATCTTTGAACACTTACAAATAAAGGTTCTTTACTGACAATGAGTCTTTAACATTCCTGGAACCTTTCCATTCTACATATGTTTCCTAAATGTTCTTTAGATTATGAAAATGACTTCACACCATGAAAAAAAAAGTTCACTGAAAGGTTCTCTTGAAAACAAAAAAAGGTTCTTGTGTGGTATCACTATGAAACCTACCTTTTATAACCTATATTTTGTGTAGTGTGAAGTTTAGTTACAGTTTTAATCCCTCTTATGTCCATTCTACACTGTTGACAATTTCCTGTAGAATCTACAGTAAAATACTGACAGCTGTTTATAGTAACTTACTGTAAATCAGTTACAACTAAAAAACTGTAGTTACATTTACCAACACTTATCTTGCTGTTTATATGTTTACAGAATTGTATGTATATCTTTATTGTAAAATATACAGTAATTTTCACAATGCAACTTTAAAATACAGTAACATACTGCATAACTGTTCTACAGTAAAATACTAATTAATACTTGGGGGGATCGAGGAAGAAAGTACAATTTTTCATAAAAAAATATTTTTAAAAGATAATGTTTTGGACAAAAAATATATTTTTGCTGTAGTTACTAACTCATAAGTGTGGTCCATCAATATGGGGTTGTAGCTTAAAAAATGTAGAACAACTTCAAAATAGTTACACTTTAAACATATATTGCACACTATTACTTTTGACCCGGTCAGTTGAAACAAAAGTAACACAACAATATTTGCTAGATTTACTGGCTTAATCTTGTTGATTTTAAATATGTCTGACTATAATAGTGTTAATTTTAACTGCAGACATATTTTGTCCTTTGTTTTTTAAATATTATGCTGCATTTTTATTTAAAAATTCAGTTCCGTAAAAAGTTTCAAAAGCAATCCAACAATGCAATATGTTAAAATTTCTTACAATTGTTGAATATATTTTATTATTATTGGCAATATGCATTAATCTAATAAAACATCTTAATCAAAACACTGAAAACTCTAATGTGAAAGTGAAAATTAAGGTTTGTCTATTAGCAGTCAGATATAAATAATAGTGTTTCTTTCATCCCTTCTGGAACTCTTGTCATTTAAACCTGAGTTACTTTTAAACTGAAAAACTCAGAGATTGAAGACTCTGAAGAAGTTACTGCACTTAATAACCTGTAGATTGATCATTACTGTGATGCATGAAAAGAGAAACACAACTTGTACAAAGAAAAAAAGACCCGCAATAATTTTCTTTCAGCACTTAAAAACAAAAATTCTGGCCAAACCATAAGAGATGGTCCCGAAATCAGCTGATATTTGGCAGCTCTATCAAGAGTTGCATGATGAAAGTGCTGTTATAGCAAATGTTGTCAGGGCTTCGAGAAAATCACTTTGTAACTTTCGTCCCCGCTGTAGTTGTTATTACAGTTAAATACTGTGTAATTTACAGAAATTAATAACATGTGTAACCCTGCTGCAAATGAAAGAAACCTTTAAAAATGTTTTATGGCTTTAATAGTTACAGTGTTTGCTTTTATTGGTGAGCCTGTTAGAATCACTAAATAAATAAAAAAAGTGTATCAAAATACACTAATACAAATGAACAAGTTTAATGGTTAAACGTTGGTGCTTTGTATTGGTTTAATGGTATTTGTAGAATGGAAATAGAACTTGTGTGATGATATAATTTTTATTGTCTCAGCAAGGAAATTTTGCCCCACCAAATTTTTTTTTTTATTGCATTTCTTAACTCCTAATCTTGCTAGTTAACAAACTTAATGCATTTTTTAACACATCCCATGATTTCTAAAATATCAACCTCTACTCAATGGTTGATATGTCGGTTTATGGTAAAAGTAGCGGAATTAAAACATATACTATGAAAAATCAGAAAATATGAACCCGGCAAACAACTGTGTGTTTAATAGATCTTCAATAGTCATCTAAAAGTAGTCAGCTTTGGCTAAAACAGGGCTAAACTTGGGCTGTCAACGAAAATCTAATAGACATCTAAAAATAGCCCAAAACTAGACTAGTCGTCAAATTGACAGATTCGACAGACTTTATATGTGTAGTCATTCATTTCTGTTTTTTGATGACTAGTCTAGTAGCTTTAAATTCTTAGATGTCTACTAGATTTTCACTGACTGCCCAAATTTAGCCTTGGTTTAGGCAAGACGACTATGCTTAGATGTCTATTAGACATCTTTTAGACATCTTTTAAAAACAAACAAAAAAAATGCTTGCTGGGAACTGTAAGACCAATTTATTTAAAAACATAATCTAAATAAGAGCAGGTGGTTAAAAAGTTAAAGTACTAACATTTTTTTTTTTTTTTTTGTGGAACATGAATTGGGAAATAGGCTACCATTTGTATTTTAAAAACTTGCTTTGTTGCAAAACCTGGTTAATTTTCGTATGGGCACTTATTTTCATGTGATCAATGTGTTACCTAAATGCCACAAAATCAACAATAAATATAGTATCAATTAAAAATATTACTTTTTTACTTATATATAAATACAATCTGTGAACTTTATGTGGAATTTATAGCCTACCCGTAGAACAGCCAGTCGTTTCAGAAAGTTGACTAGGGGTCAGCTCTGTCTCAGGAACTGGTACTAATAGTCTTTCAATGCCCAGGGTGTCGTAGAGATGAGGGTCTCTGGTCTTCAAGCTTGCTAGCATAATTTCACTTGCTTTGACTCCTTTTCGCTTCACATCGTCAATCACATGGCGAGCTTGATCAGCCCGTGTTTTCATCCTATGCTGGATGTCTTCAATCTCCTCTTCGCCAAACACCTTTTTTTGCTGAAGATCATCCAGCAAACCATTGATGACGCGCTCTGATAAACCTTTAATCAGATCAGGGCGAAGGTTTTCCAAAAGTTGATCTGAAAGTTCGTAAGACAGTTGGGTACATATTAAAGGATGTATGTAATTAGTAACATTGATAAACATCGAACAACACATTTATTGCAATATTTATTTGTCTTTGTTAGCGTGAGTTTGACAATGGAAATAAAGTTGCTCGTTCTTAACGTTCGGGTTAACTTTAACTCACAGTGCATCAACTAATTTGCCAAGAATTTAGATTTTATAATGCGTTATTATTAGCCTATTAATGTTGAACTACCATTACTAGGTTACTTCAGGTGAGTGAAAAGCAGGAGAGGGGCTGTATATATATCCATGATGAAACCTTAAGCTTACCAATTAATTAATCTAATGATAATTTTATTCACACGCTGCTGTAAAGTTTCCATACATTTCTGCAAGGTTAATGAAGAGTAAACCACTACTTGTATAAGTACGGACAGTAAAAGCTTCTTTTACTTTCACTTGTCGCCACATTGTTCTAAGGATTTTCAAAAACGTTCAATCTGAATGAAGTTACAAGTAACTTTCTCTCTGTCCTAACTCACACAGATTAGTTCTTCTTACCTGCCATTTCGTTTTATAAAAGTCGTCGAATTAAAAAACTTAATTCAGTTTTATCTGGTCCAGCCGTCGCTGCAGGGTCGACTAGAGAATTAGGATCACGCCTACACTTACGGTACACTCGAATCGAGCAAGACGCTTCCTGATCTCAATGTCAACATCTACAAACAAATTTCATAATGTCCTTCTGTCACTGAGTTTGCAATGACAACACAGACAATTAAATACTTTTTGTGCATGTTTTCCCTAAAATAATGAATGATTAGAGTTTAAAATGCTTAAGTAGACAATAAGTATGTGTTTATTTTCGGGTAATTTAGTAGGCATTAATGGGCATGAAGCTTAAAGGAGACAGATTATCTTTAAAATGATCATGCTGAAGTGTTTAGCCAATAGATTTAATAATGAAAAAACAGCAAGCATTGAAATAAGCTCAAAATCTGGAAAAGGGATATTCATCATTGAATTTCACCCTTTACAACTCTAATCCCCCACATCTATCTTTACTGTCATTCAGGTGTTATACGTTTATTTAAAAATTACAGTTAAAAAGACAAAAACAATTGTTTTAAAAAGCATTTATAAAAAAATACCAATAAAAAGGTCAATAATAATGTGGCTTAACAAAAACTACAATTGTACAATCTGTATCACACAATACACTCTGAACTTATCAATTGTGATAAATTTGCTAGAACAAGGACTTGGTCTATATTTGGCAATAAAACATCTTCTTGGATATATTACCTAAATGGGTCCCAAATGTTCTTTAACCTAAAAGGTTAGATGAACTTTTAGACAGTCTAATTTTTCCTACTTTAGGAAGAAGAGGATATCACGAATCCACTGTGTTGGGCTTGAGGTTTCTGATCCTTCCACCCAAGCAATTAGTCGTTTGGCCAGGTGTAATCTTTGTAAGATTATGACATGGGAAAAATAAAAAAATGGCAATCAGTTAACAAGGGATATAGATACCCAAAAAAACAGATATAGTTTTTAAAAAAAGTCCCAAAAGCAGTTAAGCTTTATACAAGACCAAAACATGCATGAGTGGCTGGGGTGGAATTACAGCGATTTCAAGCAGGATCTACATGAGGAAGGTGCTTTAGGTTTGTCCAGTGTACACAATGCAAAATTTTAATCTCATTCAGTTTAAAAATATGTTTTAAGTTCAGGTACAGAATTTTTTTCTGAATAATTTAAGAAAAACATGTTCTCTAATGTAAATGAAGGAACACAATGAGCTGTAGCAGCAATAGAAACATTTCAAAGTTTGAAAATTCAACAATATCAATCTCCATGATTATTTAGTTCATTTTATAAAAGAAAAAGCTTAATGTTTTAATTAACATTGTTGCTGGAAACAAACAAAACAATTAAAATTGGTGTGCTTGCTCTGTATTTTTAGTCGTTTTCTAGTGAATAATTTGCTGCCATTATCCACTGAGAGCATGGGTACCAAAAACCATCAACAAAGTAAATGCTGTTCGACCATGCCTTTAAAGCAGGGGTGTCAAACTCAGTTCCTGGAGGGCCGCAACCCTGCAGTCTAGTTCCAGCCCTGCTTCAAAGCTCATCTGTAGGCATCAAACTCAATTATTTTGATTAGGTGTGTTTAATTAGGGCTGAAACTAAACTGTGCAGAGCTGTGGCCCTCCAGGAACTGAGTTTGACAGCTGTGCTTTAAAGGAAAAGTTCACACTAACAAAATAAAAAAAATGTCTCTACTCTTGTTGCAAAAGTGTTTTTTTTTTCTGTTGAACACAAAAGATATTTAAAAGTTGTCGCAGGGGCACTTCATATCATTTTGGAAGGGCACTTTCTATCCAAGACTAAAAAGGGCATGTGCACTGCACAGGTTGAGCCCTATTTGTGCACGTGCCTGCTGCCTTGGCCAGACGACTGATTCTCTGTAACCTGTAAGGACTTGGAGATGAAATTATTAGTTAGGAGCTCAGTGGCTGGCTTTGAAAACCTACAAGAAAATCTGAAATCTTGAAACAGAGTTATGGCATGAAAAAATAAAAATGAGAGAGAAGCAGCCCAATATCAAACATTGAAGTCATCAAAAACCATGATATTTGCTTGTGGAATCACAATGATCATTTTAATTATTTAAACCTGCTCGGATTTTATTTGTATTAATACACAAAATGGAGATACATTAGATGACTAAACAGTGTTTAAAAAAAATCAAAGTGCTGTAACAATAAAGGTTACACATTTTAAGGGAAGTGTAAAGGAGTTTGAGGAGTATAAATATTGCAGTTATGGTTACAACTCAGTTTAGATAAAGAAAATAATGACGAAAAAATCATTAGATGTTAATGTAAAAGAATCACGTAAAAAATGCCAGTAAATATTCTTAAATTGACTAATTTATTCACACATCTGCATTACTGAAAGCAGGAAAGAAACAGTGTGCCCTATGGTAAGCAATATCTTCATAAAACAGCTTTATTAAAATAAACGATACCCTCCCCAACCCTAATGAAACTGTCATGACGGTCTCTACAAGTCATTATCTAAACATTATATGAATCAGCAATTAGAAAAATACTACCAACTATAAAATATTGTTTATGAAAACAAATAACTAACAGATTATTTAAAATGCCCAACGCATGCTGTAAATGTGCTTTCCAGACCAGTTAAGCTCAATGACTGTCAGCTCCAGACCAGTTTAGCTCATACATTTCCGACACTGCCTGTAGTCCCATTTAGCAAAAATTTTTTTAAAGAAGCGTACCCTATAAAGAAAAAAAAAAATAATAAAAGAAAATAAAAAGAAACAGAGTGTGTGATGTAACTGAGGCATTTTATGTCATAGAATAAAACATTAAAGTATGTTTGTTTAGCCGCAAAACCTATTTAAGTGATTTAACCGAAATCCCATTAAAAAAACCTCATTGACTTTGGGATGAAGAATTTTTTTCCTTGCAACAGCTTTAAAAAAAAAGCCAAATAATGAATTTCAATCCAAGAACACCACGAGCAACACTTGACTGTGTGTAACATGTAGTTATGAATTTATTTAAAGTTGTCTAGAAAGGCAAGCATTGCAGAGGACAAGAGACGGACAATAGCTAATTTCTACTTTAGAAAAAGTCACTGCTGGGTGAAATACAAAAGAGACAAAATTAATAAAAATATGACAAAAATAGGGCTATACAATGCTGAAATATCCACCCTGGAGCTGTTTCCAAGCACAAGTAAATCCCTGTTCACAGATGAAGACTCTCTATAGTAAGAAATCATAACCGTGAGGGTTTTTCCCCCAGAACTGGGCTCAATTAGTTTCTGGAAACATCTCTTCAGATGTTAAAGGGGATGGGAGATCAGAGGAACTTAAAACTTAAACCTGATTAAAAGATTTGAATACACAAATTCATCTCAGGCTCTACAAAACCACAATTTGCACTTAAAATATTTTACAGTATGTAAAAAAAAAAAAAAAAAAAGAAGGAAAAAAACTAAAGAGGTTTGGCCGGTGGTCTCAGAATCTGCGGCGTTTGTTGGCGCCAAAATCATTAGGTCCAGGACGAGGGAAGGGAAGAGGAAGACCACCTGGATTACCAGAAGCTCCCTGCTGAAAGAGAGACAGAGAAATATGCTTACACGCATGCATACTCTACACATACAGTCTTTAAAGTGTATGTGGAGAAATTAGTACCTCATTAGAAGTCAAGTTGGTAGAGCCTGTGTTTGAGGCATTTCCACCCATCGGGTTCCTGTTCATGCCCATTCCCTGACCTGTCACCCCACCATGAAAGAAAACACAGATTGTGTCATGGAAACAAGTTAGGAATACAACAGTGTATATTTAGACACCTACTTGAAGAAAAGTTTATAATCTGGGATTAAAGTAAAAACTGTTGTGTGCAATTGTGCATGTTTGCGAACATTTGAGTGTTATTATATCTTTAATTGTTCATTAGATCTCTAAATTGTGCTTTGTTAGTAATTTAAGCGTGTAAAATTACTGTTCAAGTAATGGGGCTGCCTATAAACAATTACTGGGAAAAGATTCTTTTAAATCCATAATGCACACAGACATTCAATTACAGTCTGCCAGCCCCAGGGCTTCCGATGAATTGTCATCACATACAAAAAAAAAAAAAAAAAAAAAAAACTGTGACCTTTCCTGCCTGGCTGAGATACCATATAAAGTGGGTATCAGATGGAGCAAGAAGCACTGCATTAAATGACATTTTTCCATGCCACGTCTTTAAAATATGGAACTTAATTTTACCCTAGTATTTTCAATGGAGTTTCTGCACTAGCCTGCGGCTAAATGACAACACCTGCGTTTCATCAATCTTTCATTTCTTTTTACGCCTCAACAACCAAATGGATTCTCAAGTCTATTTAACTGATTATATTTTAATTGCATTACAACATCGATGCTGTAAATAAAAAGTCATGACATTGAAAATAGTCACATAAACTTTCCACCGGAAGTTCATCAATTAGCTGAAAAACACTAGCTGTGCATATAACCCATTGGAATTAAGGTAAAACATTTCAGAAATGTTCAAAAAAAGGGGGGGAAAGCAATTTTTAGGCAGAAAATTATCACTAAACATTTCAAACAGGGACTTCGAACGATGAGGATTTTTCTTTTTGTGCACTGTTAAACTTTTGAACAGTGTAATATATTACAAACATGAACAGAAGACCAATCATGGAGAGAAAAATGACAGACAAACAAAGTCAATGCCACTAATGGCAAGTTGAGTCCCTTTCTTACCTCCCATATGCATCCTCATATCAGGATCCCTCTGAAAAAAACAAAAACAAATAGTTTATTACATCAAACTTTTCAAAAAATGTTTAACCCTCAAACAAAGCACAAAATAACTGAATAAAGGCCCTGATATACTACAATCTTTGTTATTTGAATGCAAGCTTTATAAAATAAATTGTGTATAAGGATGACATTATATAACAAATAAAAAACCTACAATGCATTTGTGCCATTTGCAGATCTTTTCTAAACATTTTAGTCCAACCATCAAACAAATAATCTAACGATTACTAAATATAATAAGTTCAAAAACCTTATTAAATCAGTATTCTTTTTATTTCTAACACAGTTGACTACTACATTGACCTCATAACCTGTAAAAGTACTATTATAGCACCACTTAGTGGCTTAGAAAACAAAATGCAGAAAGATTATCACAAGGCAGAGCTTCATAGAGCTTCATAACATTAGGGGGGGAAAAAAGAAGTGATTTTTATTTATTTATTTTTTAAAAGATCAACAAATTCAGACTCACCTTCTCAGAGAAGTTGCCTCCCTGGCCCTGCTGTCTCCTCATCAGCTCCTCAGAATGGGCCCGGAGCTCCTCCTCCCTCCTCCGCCGCTCCTCCTCCTGACGCAGCTCCATCTGTTTGCGTTTCTGCACCTCCTGGCTGTGAGCCTCCTCCATTCTCCTCAACTCTTCCTGTCTGCGCAGAAGATCTGAAGCAGAGAGTGAGAGAAACAAATTTGATTGAATGTTGTGCGTTTGCTTTTTGACTGGATCTACATTCAACAGACAATTATATAGTTTGGAAAAGAGTGATTTGATCATTTTAAGAGATGTGTGGCGTTTAAGAGCATTGGTTTTGTGGGCATGCTTTAAATCACAGTACATAAAACTGAGAAAAGTTTGTGGATTTGTGAGGAAAATTAGAAACTGGCAAAGTTATATTACAAAAAGGTAAACATTAAAATGAAAATTCATTTATAATGGAAAAAAAAAAAGATTTATTTGATTAAAAACACACGTCATGTGATCTTTAACCCAACATCGGTAAACAATGACCATACAAATCTGTCATCAATAAAATATTAGTTATAGATTCAGGGGTTAAAGGGTTACAAATTACTGTTAAAGTGGTACAGCTAACAAACAAATTGGGAAAAACTTTTCAATGAACATTAATTTACATGAACTGGTGAGAAGTTGCAACAGGTGTATACTTTAGTATGTTGACATTTCCAACTGATGCTAAAGTAAGGGGCTGGTTCATCTTTCACCCGCAGTTAATTAGGAGTTGGAGGGGCGTGGCTAAGCATCTCACCAAAGCCTTCAAATTGACATCAGAGGAGGACTTCCAGAAGCAAATGATTAGATTTTGATTAGAGATTAATCAAGGAAAAGATCAAGCTTTCTGCTCTCAGTAAATTATTTTGCAGGGATTAATTGTTCACTTTATGACTAACATTGTGCACTAGCAAAATAAACATAAGCAGATTTTAATGAGTGAGAACTCACCTTGTCGCATTAGCATGACTTGGTGTTCATGCCGTGCAGCTTCCAGTTCAGTCTCCAGCTTCTCTTTAGCCTCTTTTATGTTTCGGTCGACCTGTTCGTACTGCTGCTTTTCCATTTCCATTAAGGCCTTCCAGCGCATTGCATACTCGTACTCAAATGAGCCTGGTTGGGCGAAGCGGGGAGGCTGCTCACGCTCTCTAATGGACAGATTAAGACAGGTTACTGTGTTTACATAACCGTCTAATATGCAGAATAATGTACAATGAGAACAAACTGGACCTTTATTTGTTATTTGATCATAATGTAATAAATGATTTTGTAAGTAAATACTTGAGCAAATTTTTTCCAATTGTATTAATTTATTTGATAAAGGCTGCACTAACAAATTAAACAAATACACTAGCAAACAATGTCATAACATATACAAAACTTGAAGTTGTAGTAGTTATAATAATATTAATATTTTCTAATATATAGCAATACATAATTACAAGCGTACCAGGGCAATTTAAGCAATGTTTCATGGGTTAATCAAGCTTTTCTTTAAATTTAAATAATTAACAGTATCAGCTTCCTAAAGCTAAACCCTTTTATGCAGCTCTCAAACAGCAGATGACGAAAACGGTTTCTCTACAACCACAAAAAAAAGAACCAAATTGTACTGATCTAGCTCTTCATGCACATTCAAACTTCTATGTTTTTCAACATTTCTTGGATTCTTTTGTATCAAATCACCTGAAAGTGCACTTACTGTACATTTTTTTTGTTATCTACCATCAGAATGTCCAAGACTTCATTGCCATAGCATTTTATTAGGAACTTTATCTGGCTTTGGACTAGACTGAAACACTGGTGCATCATGCTTTCTAATCTCTTCTAAAATGTTTTTTTTTAATCACATTATTTTGATAACCTCTATTTATTTTGTTACTTGTTCACATGTAATGTAAAAAGTGGGATTAGGATTACTTGATATTGTGAATTGACTTGATATTGTACAGTTACATTGGGTGCTGAAAGCTCTGCGCAATGAAACCCATTCACTTTAAAGATTTCCATTGCACAAGGGCAGATTGTGTATGTGCCGATTAAAACACAAGCGAATCAGAGCACACCGCATGTGCTGTGCTTAAAGTTTAAATATTTTGCTCAGTGGATATTACACTCGTGTACATGTATTCTTTTCTATGCATGAAGAGCACATGCTTATTGGTAAAGCAAACTCCACCCAAATGACATATTGACAGGACGTTCCTGTGAAATATACTTTTTCTTGTTGCTTATAGCACTGTTACTGTGGTAAAAACACTGTTAAAACCTCTCAATTGACATTCAAATTTTTCTGTAAATAAGTCTATAAGAAAAGAACTTTATATTGTTTCACAAGTAAATAAATAATTACAACAAAGCATGCAGAATTTTCATGTTGGTCCATCCATAATAAATATTTACAGTTTTTTTTTCCATGAATCAATATTCTAATAGCACACTAGCAAAAAAGTACATCAACTTACTTGTGATATACTGGGTTTTTGTTAATGAGTCTCTCAGGAAGCCCCTCTTCCTCATCAAGCTGCTCCATTGGCTCAATGGTAACAGGCCGGGGGAATCTGAGTTTGAGAGGAATAATCAAGCTTAATTAACCATCTATTATTATCACAAAAGGAACAGAACATTGCATATAAGCAGAAACATAAATACTTACGCAGTAAGAAGAAAAGCTCCATCTCCACACCGGTCCAGAGCTTTCCTGGCAGATGGTTTGTTAGCAAACTCCACAATTCCCTTCCCAGTTGGCCTGCCACGGTCATCAACGATGACTATGGCACGTTCGATGGGACCAAACATGGAGAAGGCCTCCTCCAGAAGCTCATTGGACACAAACTGAGGCAGGTTTTTAACCGTCAGCGCAGCACCATGGGTGGCAAATCGCACACGAATCTGCCGTCCACGGAATATGGTGTCATCCAGTTCAGCTTTTGCGATGTCCGCAAGCGTCTTCGTTTCCTAATAATGAGAGAACAGCAAGTCAGGGTTAATGTTGCATTAGTCTTGTAGTCTGAGAACATTGAAAAGTATGGTACAATGATAACAATTACAACCATTTTTAATTGTCAGGTGATATTCTTAAAAAGTACTCTCTATTATCATAAACAAATCACTTAATCAACTTGTGCCTTTACGATTATTTTCTGGTTTCAGTAATCACATAGAGCATAATTAAAATTAATAAACCCAAAAATCTTTTCTGTGCATCGTGTGTTTTTGGACATAAATGAAACACTAAATTCTACTGTCACAATACTGAAGTGTTAAAGCGGTCCAGTACTCGCGAACATTAAAGCATTATTAAAATTTACTTCTTTTTTTATTACAGTACCGATTGGTACAGGAACTCCCGTATTATGCCAAGACTTGTAGCAGGAATACAAGTATTTTACATATGAAATTACATTACCTTACAAACACTGCCAGTCAATGAACTGTCAAACATAATATTGCGATCACACTTTATTTCTTATTACTTTATTTTATAATAAAAATTCTAACATTTTTCCCGGTGACACTTTGCTAAAGACGTTCTTAGAGATATTTCATAAAAAAGCCTTCTATAGTTATTAAAAGCAGGACTGTCCAGTAGAATGTGCATTACAGTAAAAGGAATTGTCCAGGACAAACACTGAGTGGGGTCTTACCACAAAAAAATAAGTATGTAATTGATTTGTGTTTTTGCCATGAAACCAAAACTAAAGTGAATCTACAGTTGGATGTTTTTTTAGTAGTAGGCAGGAATGAGAAAGCAGCTTGAGCAGTTTGAGTCAATACAGTTATGTTTTAGGTTTAGCAACCACATACAGCAAAATTAAAATGAATAAAACCAAAAAACATATTGCACATTTTGTGCACATTGTAGAATTTAGTATTGTGACATTACTGCAATTTCAGTACCAAAAACTACTGAGATATTAAAAACAGTACTGGAGTTTTGGAACTGAAATTTTAAAACCTTCCACTTCCTGCTAACATTTAAGCAATGCTAAAACGGACACGTTTTTTTTAAATCACAGTACCAATTGGCACCGAAAATCCAGTATTGTCAACACGTTGCATTAATATAAGTATTTTGAATCTACAGTTGGTTGTTTTTTTTAGTAGTAGGCAGGAATAATGAGCAAGCAGCATTGGTTGGAGCCAATCCAATTATTTTCGGAAGGTTTAGCCACCACATGCGGCATTATTAAAACGAATAAAACCAAAAAACTTTCTGCGTTTTTAGTGCTATTAGATGTAGTAGAATTAAGAGTTGCAACGTTACTGCAATTTTGCTACTGAAATTTCCCGCTAACAGTGTTTAAATGTTAGCGGGAAATGGATGTTCCAGTATTGTGCCAACACTAGAAGCATTATTAGAAGTATTTTACGCATGCTATTCTTTCACCTTACAAAAACAACTATCAACAAACTGTCAAGCATAATTTTGCCATCACACTTTATTTCATGGTGACGCCTAACCAAACTCACCAGCCTGATGAAGCCAAAGCCTCGATCCTTGTTGATAAAAATCTCAGAAGCCTTGCCATACTTGGAGAAAAGCTTCTCCACATCTTCCTCTGTGGTCCCAGCAGGTAGGTTGCCCACAAACAGCCGACTTCTCTGCGTGTAGGTCTTCTCACCAGGCTTCTTGAAGTTCTGCAGGTCTATAGTGAAACCAGCATCTGCAGGACAGAAAACAGTCAGTCAGTCAACATCACTCAATTCAATATAAAGTTTAATGGTGGTGTAGATCGATGAGTTTCACTTACTAGGGCTGCTCTGCTCTCCAGCATCGGTGTGTTGTCCATTGCTGTCGGCTCCGGTGGGCTTCCTCTGCTGCTCCTGTTGGGGGTTGGGCTGCTGTCGCTGTGGGCCGTGATTCTGCTGCTCTGAACGGGGTCCTCTGTTTCCTTGCATCTTTTTAAAAACACGAATAGTCAATAAAAGATTTTAACAAGACAATTTGGAAAAACTTGACAAAAAAAATTTCAAAATTGGTTAATAACACCTCTAATAATTCAAACCAAAATCAAAATAATAAATTAAACAGTAAATCTACAAAAGACTAAACGGGTCGTTAATTTTAGAAGATCAAAGTAGACATTTATAAAATGGTGTTGGAAAGACAGAAAAGGAAAATTGATTAGAAAGCGAACTATTGTTTTAAATAAAACAAAAATAAATGACAAAAAAGAAAATATATTAGACTAATCAAGGACCAGGTATTTTAAAGTAAATAATAAAATAAAAGGAGATGTATGTATGTACATATATTTATATGACTATTAATTTACTAATAATGCATATTTGACGCCAAATTAATGTATAGTAGAAGCCTTTTTTATTAAATACATTTACTCACTTAGCTCATTTAACTTATATGCAAAACAACACAGCAATAAGTAAATTATTGTGAGTCATCATCCAAGTATACAAATAAAGAATAAAATAAAAAATTGAGTAGAACTACAAAACACTAATTGGACTGTTCATGTTAGAAGATCAAAGCATTTTTTTTAGAAAAAAAAGGAAGTTCTTTTATAAAATGGTGTTGGAAAGACAGAAAAAATGGACTGGAAAGAGAATATTTGTTTAAATTAACAAAAACAAATGACACAATAGATATTAGACTAATATATTAGACTAATGGAGGACATTTTTAAACAAATTAGAGAATAGAAGGCGATGTATAAATGTTTATACAACAATTAATTTAATTTTATTGCATATTTGATGCCAACTTAACGTTCTTTAATTGACTTTTTTCCATAAATTCATTTACTCAGCTCATTTGAATTTTATCCAAAGCAACAACACAACAAAATTAAAAAACTGGAGTAACTTAGATCTACAAAAGACTAAACATGTTGTTAATTTTAGAAGATCAAAGTATTTTTATATCGGGAAAATATAAGAGATTTGTGAAAAAAAAGTGTTGGGAAGACAAAAAAAGAAAAAGTATTTTATAGAACAAATATTAGAAACAGAGTAATCGAGGCTCGGTATTTTATAAATAAACAATGAATCAGAAGGCGATGTGTGTATATTTATACGACTATTAATTTACTAATATTGCATATTTGATGCCAAATTAATTTTCTATTATTGACTTTTTTTAATAAATTCATTTACTCAGCTCATTTAACTTTTATATAAAAGCAACAACACATCAAAAAGAAGTAAATAATACCGACTCCGAGTCTTCGTCTTAAGAAGAAAACAATCTTAAATAATAATAATAATAAATAAATTGGAGATCTACAAAAGACTAAACGGGTTGTTGAAGTTAGAAGATTAGAGTAATTTTTATATCAAGAAAATGGAAGAAACGTGAAGAAAATCGACTAGAAAGTGAAGAATTGTTTAAATCCACAAAAATAAATGTAAGCTAACGTTAACGTTAATAGAAAACTAGACAGTAATGGAAGACCGGATATTTACAAATAAATAAATGAATAAAAGGTGATGTATAGGTTATACATTTATACGAACATTACTGTGCTAATAATGTATATTTGATGGCAAATTAACGTTATTGTTCAGTAATAGATTTTCGTCATTATGAGCGTGTTTTTTGGGTGAAATTTGGGCTCTTTGTTTTCAATTGTTTGATTCACTGCTAACGTAACGTTAGCGTACGGTATTTTCTACTATTCTACTACACCCTATTCTTATATTTATATTTCATCGGTTAAAACTGAATATCTTATATTAATCCGCGTAACTTACTTGCTTTATTTTACGTTATTTATTGTCCCACTTGCGTAATTAGCGTTTGTGGCTTTGCACATCGGAGCGTGAGCCGGTGAGACGCACTCAACGCAATGAGCAGCACGAGCTTACATAAACCAACAGATTCAATCAGGAACAAACACATAATGATTCCGCACAAGATATTAAAGAAAACAAGCATCAAAATACCTTTTATACGAGTTATTAATCCGCTCCAGTAACACACGCAGCGTTGGTCACAAAGAGGAGAAGGGCGGAACGTCGTACAGCCCAACCTGCTACCTTCTCTAACTGTTCATTGGCTGGAGTGGGGGTTTCCGGCTTAAAGATTCCTTCTTCCTATTAGTCGATTTCGTGTCAATAAAATGACGTTTGAATATTGGAGTCTTTTATTGGTTGCTGTCGTTTTGAAACCAGTCGCTTAGGCCTTCTACGCCGTTTTACGTAGGAAATGACGAAAAAACAAGCTTGTGAGCGGCGTGGTTTGATTAAACATCTAGAAAAGGATCGAAAGGTGCTGGCGCCGACCAGCGTTTAAACGAGGAAGCAGAATGTTCTACACCATTATGTCTTCATTCATTCTTTTTCCTTCGGCCTCCTTTCCTTAGACCTTTTATTCACCAGGGGTCGCCACAGCGGAATGAGCCGCCAACTTATCCGGCATATGTTTTACGCAGCAGATGCCCTTCCAGGAGCAAATTCTGTTCTGGAAAACACCCATACACACTCATTCACACACATACACTGGCCAATTTCATTCATTCATTAATTTTTCTTCGGTTAAGTCGCTTTATTCACCAGGGGTCACCACAGCGGAATGAACCGCCAACTTATCCAGCATATGATTTACATAGCGGATGCCCTTCCAGCTGCAACCCAGTTCTGGGAAACACCCATACACATGGGAAACCCATGCGAACACCGGGAGGACATGCAAACTCCACACAGAAATGCCAACTGGCCCAGCCGGGACTCGAATCAGTGACCTTTTTGCAGGCAAAAGTGCTAACCACTGAGGACTTCCAAAACAAATAATGTGTCTAATAAAACTCCTTAAGGATCTTTAAATTGAAAAGCAACCAAAACTAGATATGCTTAAAGAATTAAACTCCACCTTTACGTTGCAATTCTCAGTGTATACCCTTTTATGTTTTATTTATACTTTATTTTGAATTTCTACCTTTTTTGTTATAAATGTAGGCCACTAAATAAACTCAAGCAGTTTGCAAATTATTAAATCAGTGATTCCCAGTGGCCACATAAATATTCACAGTGATCGTCATTGATCATGATGTTAAACATATTAAATCAGTGGTTCTCAAACTTTTTTCATCAAGTACCACCTCAGAAAAGAATTGTCTCTTTAAGTACCACTATAATAAGCAGTAGTACAGCACTGCACAGTCTAATACGTGACAGATTAATTATTAATATTAAAAATATTTATTATAGTCACCCTAAGCATTATAAATAGTTTAAACATTAACACTGTACTGTGCTTAAATGTAAAAAACAAACAAACATACAAATAAAAATAAAACAACAACTTTGAAATTAAAATATGCTTTTCAAAGTAAAAAAAAAAACTCCTGTATTTAAATGTAAAGTATTAACATATAGTAGCCAATTCATCAACACCTGGAAATGTTGCCTTGACCATGGAAAAATAGGCTATATGTCATCATATTCATATTTAAATAATATTTGATAAATTATGAAATATATGTAGCATGTACATATGACATTATTATTCCTCCGCGTACCACTAGAAGGAAGCCTGCATGCCACTAGTAGTACATGTACCACAGTTTGAGAACCAATGTATTAAATGATTATTATTATTATTTTTATGTTAAAAATATAAAAAGTATTAAAGAATGTTTTACAGTAAAATACCATTTCAGTAGTTTAGTGTTAAATTTCATGTTTAATTCATTGAGCTACTTTCAGTTTCTGTGAAATTAAGTGCAATTTAAATGACTAACTATTCTTTTTTTACTAGTTTTACAACCAATATTTTAAGTGGACAATGGTGATAAAATAATAAAATGGTTGTATTACTAGATTTTATTGTTACTTTTCTATGTTTAAAAACGGATTCTTTAAAATACTGACACTGCAGGTAAATAAACAAAAAAAAAAAACTCTGTTTATTTTATTTCTTATTTTGTGTTTACTGAGTCAGTCGTCACCATCGTCAGGAAGAATCTATGATTATATCAGCTTAGTTTTTTAATCTTTCAAATTTCCTTTGATTTTTATATATTATTACACACATTTTGGAAATGTGATCTAATATTACCGAAAGTGAGAACCAATAATAATATTAAACATCAAGAATTTGTAGCAAAGTTGTGTTCACACCTCTTGCATAATGTTTATATACAGGATTTCAGCAGGTTTCACCAACTTAAATTTAAAACTTTTAAGACATTTTTAAGACCAGTATGAATTAAATTTTAGACTCATAAAGGGCTAAAGGCCAGGGAAATGGCCTAAATGGAAAAGATTTTTAATTGCCCAATCAAAAAAATATATAGTTATAATGCAATTCATTTAATAATACAATAACAATTTTATAATACTTTTAAAAATAATTTAGATATTTCTAAGCAAAATATTTTAAATAATGTGTAAAAACAAGCAAACTCTACTTGCATCCATACACCCCCCCCCCTCCAACATAAACTTTCTTTAAAAAAAAAAAAAATATATATATATAATAAAATAAATGTATGCACAACGATATTTCCAGGTCGATGTCTTCAGCAGTAAATACATGGAGCACTTTTACAAAAATGTTATAGTAAGGAAAATAATTAAACCATTCTGGTAAAGAGTTAAAAATGACCTTTTTACATAAAAAGATTCAGGATTTATTGAGATAGATTGTTGGTGATTGTATGGTTTTCAATGGCCAGATGGTGTAGCAATACATAAACAAAGGAAAATTAAGACCTGTTCAAAAAAAAGATTTAAGACCTACAACACAATGTTTTAATAAATTTAAGACTTTTTAATGCCTAAAACTTTGATTTTAAGATTTAAGACACTTTAAGACCCTGCGAACACCCTGATATTATGCTATAACATAATTAAAGAAAGGAACGTGTAATTGCGGGTAAATAGAAATAAAGAAAAAAAGAACAAGATACAAAATAATCCCTTTAATAAACTGCATTAAAATATTACAGATGTGTGTGTGTATATACACCCCCACACACACTGTCAGAGACATGTCAGGAGGCATCTTATTATGCAAATATGTAAGCATCTTCACCATGTATTAAAAATAAACACAGCAGAACAAATTACTGTCATAAAATCAGTGTGACGATGACCACATCCGATCACAAATCAGTTCGCTATATTGCTCCAAGGCACATGTGGTGTTCAGCTATGCAAATCAGTAATAGGAACAAAATAAGGAGTGTCTGCATCTGCTTCTGCCTGAGATCCCAATTTAAAAATAAGATATTTATGAATTATTGAAGTCACCTTTCAGTTTCCCAAAACATGTCCAATGGGAACCAAACACAGCAGTAGTATTACCACAGCTAGTCAAGTCCCCCAGTCAGACAAAACATCAATTATTAAAATAGACACGTCATGCACTAATAACAGCTAAAATCCCCCAATTCCGCATTGTACTCAAACAAATAAGACCTGTTTATTTGAGCTTGACTCTCTTTGCTCCTTGCTTGTAGTCCTCCGGGGTGAGTTTGTACCCCCAGTGCTGTAGAGTCTGTCTGACCACTGGGGAAACAGTAACGTTGTCGTAAGCACAACCGGACCGGACCACTTTCGTGATGAGGTTGTTCCGCCACCGGCCTTTGACTCCTGCACATTTGGACCAGCGACTGATTTGACGAGCATCGTCCTCTGTCCGCCTGCCCTGGTAAAACCTGCACCGAAGCCAAAACATGAATGAATGAAGGTAAACATAAAAGTTTGACCTGAGATTGAATATTTTGATATGTCATTCTGATCAGGTATAAGGGGAACTGCTCAAGTAAAGAGGCTGAAAGCATTCAAAACTGCATACTTGTCTACTATTTACTACATTAATCTATCGTAGATGAAAAACAGTATGCGATATACAGTAAGTGTATGCATCTGTCTGTGCTATGCCTTTCTTATCTTTGTTTAGTTGCTTATCTTATTTAAGGGAAGCACTTAGAATTACCTTTGCGTATGAAATGTGTTATATGAATAAACTTGCCTTACTTTGCCTATCAGAAATAAAGGTACAAAATCTGTGACTGGGGCGTACTGGGGCTTTTCAAAAGGTACATTTTTGTTTCTAACATGTCCTTAAAGGTACATATTAAATTAATAACTAAAAAGTACAAATGTGTGCCTCATAGTACCTTTAGGGTACAAAAGTGAACCTTAAAGGCATACTCCAATCAGGATTTTTGCAGTCGATACCAATTACTGATTCCATGTCATGGTGATCAGCAGATATTAAGTACAAATTCTGATGCTTCAAGCTTTATAATGCAAAAAAGCTAATTTTCCCTATAAGTATGACACTCAAGTGGAGATCTTGCCTTTTCTTAAGAGACTAAATGAAGGATGCTGCATATAATCCCTTAAAAACCTCTATTATAATCATTTAGTGGGGACAAGTCTAGGTCAAATGGAGTTTTGCAGAAAATAATAAATAAAGATTTTAAAAATTGGTAAGAAATTATTAACAAAGCAATCTGGAAACAATGCAAATGATGAAAGCAGAATTCTATTCGTCTCAATCAAGAATATTTGTAGTGCATAATTGATGCATAAGAAGTTAATCTAACCAACGTAATACTTAGAACATCACTGTGCCTCTCTCAGTATATTCTCTTGTTCACTCTCTTGTCATAGAACTCATAAACAAACACTTGCAATCGGTTCATAAGATCGGCCAGATTGGCGAGTACCAATTGAGTCATGAAATGTGATTATCGGCCGATACTGACCTCTGGCTGATCGATCAGAACATCCCTACTTAAATCTTTAAAAGTGTACCTTTTAAAAAGGTCTAACATTTCAGAAATCCTGATACTTGTGGGAAAAATACCTAGATAACTTTCGTCTGCTGGCAAGATTCTGAATTGCACAAGCTATGGACACTTTGCTATTCCATGATGCCACAGGAAAGGGTTTGTGATTCGAGAAAATAGTTGGTTGTAAAAGCAGCAGCTGCAAAAATGCCAATATAACTGACTATTTTCATCCTAAATGAAATTTAGCAGAACTTGAGTGCGCTTCTTGTGCGCTCTCAAACAAACACTGCTGAAGTGCAATTTAGTGCGTTTATTTAACGAGTATGTCTCCAGCATTTATTAGATTTGCTAGGAATATTTATGAATGTCTCTAATAGACCTCCTGAGTGATATTAATGTGTCCTGAAGTAAAGTGAAACGGCTATATGTCGTGTTTGTTGGCCTCACACATCACGCACCTTTCAGTCAGTCAGCACGTAACCCTAAAGGGTTAAACAAATGACGCACAGCACTACTACAGTTACAGAAAAGTTTGCACTGTTATAATTAGCTTACCTCTTAATACATTTTGGTGCGATAATAACCCGCTATTAAAAAATAAAATGTTTTGAATGAGAAGCTGTAATGTAGCCGTGGCGGGATGAATTTTGGCGTGGCGCCCCGCCAT